TGTGTGTGTGTGTGTGTGTGTGTGTGTGTGTGTGTGTGTGTGTGTGTGTTTTAGTAGAGACTGGATTTCAATATGTTGGCCAAGCTGGTCAAACTCTTAACCTCATGATCCGCCCACCTCAGCCTCTCAAAGTGCTGGGATTACAGGCCTGAGCCACCGTGCTTGGCCAGTTTACCCTTTTTTTCTTTTTTGAGACAGAGGCTTGTCCTGTCACCAGGCTGGAAAATGCGGTGGCGCAATCTCAGCTCACTGCAACCTCTGCCTCCTGGGTTCAAGTGATTCTCCTGCCTCAGTCTCCCAAGTAGCTGGGATTACAGGTGCCCGCCACCATGCCCGGCTACTTTTTCTGTTTTTTTAGTAGAGACAAGGTTTCACCATGTTGGCCAGGATGAAAAATACCAAGTGCAAAATCTTTGATCATGTGTCTACACATCATAACAATGTCAAACTCGATCTCTTGACCCTGTGATCCGCCTGCCTCGGCCTCCCAAAGTGCTGGGATTATAAGCATGAGCCACTGCGCCCGGAATGTGCACTTCATTGATTTAAAAAATCTATACATTCACAGAGTTGTGCAACCATTACCACAATGTATTTTAGAAAGTGTTCATCAACCCCAAAAAATCCTGTATCTATTAGCAGTCACCTCTATTTCCACCCACTAAGCAGCTGGTAACTACTTTCTGTCTCTGTAGACTTACCTATTTTTTTGGCTTCATTCACTTACCATAATGTTTTTGAGGTTCATCCGTGTTTTAGCATGGTATCAGTGCTTTATTCCTTTTTATTGCCAAATCATATTCCATTTATGGCTATATAGTATAGTTTTAACTGCAGTAGTTTTTTTTTCTGACAGTTTTTCTTTTTTCAGTTTTTCTGAAAATCAAAAACACAGCCTAAAAATTTTATTAATTATGTTCCACCCATGATGCCCATTAAGCATTTTATGCTACTTATTATTTTTTTAATAGCACATAATACCGCATGTATACATGGGAGATATCTAGAGAAATGAGTGAATCTCCTGTGTTGCTTTCTATCTAAGCAACTTTGTGAAATTTGTCTTCATCATGTATAGTAATCACTAGTTTCCATATTGTTAGTAGTCAGTATTTTTATTAGATTCTTAGCATTGGAAAATGTACTTAATAGTTTTTCACACATAAAGATGTGATAATTCTTCGTAAGAGCATGTTGAAAGATGTTTGGATCACAGTTCTATTTTAAGTTGTATTTTATTATTTAGGTCTCATTAAAAATGTGGCTCTTCAGCCAGAGACAGATGTGCTTGTTTCTTTTCAGGTCTTTAGCTTCTTATTTCAGTCTTATTTTATAGTTTTCCATGTATCAGGAAACAAAGTGCTAACAAATAGGCAAAATGTTTGTCTTGTTTCTTCTCTAGTAAATGATTTAATGGAGGAAGAAATTGAAAATACAGATTAAAATGAAATTGTGTAATCTATAAATTTCAGTTTTTATGTTAAGTCCTTTGGGATTATCTGTTTGTAGCTGAAGAAATAACATTGATGTTTGGAAACATTATATACTATGTTTTTTTAATCCCAATACCTGTACCCACTACCCTGTCCATGAAGTTCCCCTATTAAGTTCACCCTCCCTCCAAAAAAAAAATCTTTGGATTTCAGAAAAATCTTCTTTGATTAATTTATAATTAGATTTGTGCTTGGGTCTTTAGTCTCAGATGAGATGATATGGAAATCCGAGTTCACTTTTGCCTTTCTCTTCTACCTAATTACCTTGGGTTCTCTGAAAAGATCAGTTTCTGCATTTCTCCATTGATCTAATATGTTTTCTCTAGAACAGCATTTTTCAGATTTTTTTGGTAAAAGATCAGTTTTTATTTTTTTCAATTTTTTAGTCTACTGTAAACTAATACCTCTATAAAATGCAACCAAACTAATTATTTTTAAAAAATGAATGCCCTTCCACTGAAAAAATACCTTGATCATGTGTCTAGATATCATAACAATGTCAAATTGTTGTCAGAGCTTTTCAATGCCAACTCAACTTCTCTACTTAGTCACAGACTGGCTTGTTGGTCAAACAACTTTCAGAGTAGTAGCATTGCCCTTAATCAGCAGTTCTCAGATGTTTTGGTCCCAGGACCCCTTTTACTCCCAAAATTTGAGGACTCAAAAAGGCTTTTGTTTATGTGGGTTATAGCTAATGTTATTTAAATTTAGAAATTAAAACTGAGATGCCAGGTGCAGTGGCTCACACCTGTAATTCTAACACTTTGGGAGGCTGAGACAAGAGGACTGCTTGATCCCAGGAGGTCAAGACCAGCCTGGGCAACATAGCAAGACCCTGTCTCAGTTAAAAAAACATTAAAGCTGAGAAAATTTCAAAATATTTATTAATTTATTTAAAAATAAGAACCTATCATAGGCTGGGGCCAGTGGCTCATGCCTGTAATCTCAGTGCTTTGGGAGGCTGAGGCAGAAGGATCACTTGAAGCCAAGAGTTTGAGACCAGCCTGAGCAACATAGTAAGACTCCCATCTCTTCAAAAAAAAAAAAAAAAATTATTAGTAAACTGAGCATGGTGACATGTGCCTGTAGTCTTGCCTGCTCAAGAGACTAAGGCACAGAATTGCCTAAGCCCAGGAGTTTGAGGCTGCAGTGAGCTAGGATCATGCCACTGCAGTCCAGCCTGGGCCACAGAGTGAAAGAAACCATGTCTCTAAAAACAAGAACCACTAACATGCTATCATGAATTATATTTTTATGAAAAATGACTATTTTGTTAAAAAATTAATGAGAAGAAAGTTGTTTTACATTTTTGTAAATCTCTCATTTATTTATTTATTTATTCTTTTGAGGCAGAGTCTTGCTCTGTCACTAAGTCTGGAGTCCAGTGGTGCAGTCACTTAATTATTTGTGGTGACTTTTACAGTAGCTATTAGTTCTTTAACTGGTGGGTATTGTAACATGTCTTTGGACAGTCCAAACATACAAGTTTTAATGGGAGTAATATTGAAGAACTTGGGTTAGATTCCCATCTTTGGCAAAATAGATATGGATGCTCACGTTCTGAAATGGTTAATAAGAATTTTTACTTACAGGTGCACGAGAATATCATGTCCAGTTTTTTAGCAACCAGCCAGAGAGGGCGTGGGTTCATGAAAAACGGGTACGGGAGTATAAAGGTCATAAACAGTATGAAGAATTACTGGCGGAGGCAACCAAACAAGCCAGCAATCACTCTGAGAAACAAAAGGTAACTAATATATTAATATTATTTACCTAGTATGGTTTTTAAAGACCTTAGTAACATACAAGAATTTTTCATACTTGAATTCAGTCAATTACTAGAATTGTTTTTTAAAACCCCTTTCAGCTCAGTTTTAATCATAATGGTAAATGTCTAGTAAGTTTTTAAGTACACCAGTGAGTTTTATATGTCATATAAACAACATGTAGTATTACTAAAAACTTTAGCTACTTGCTTAATGTAATATTGGCTTCTATTGTGAGTTTCATTAATGTGCATAAGTGTAGTAGATGCTAGTGAAATGTGGATTTTGCCAGGGAATTTTACTCTTTTTTCTGTTTCAGCATCTTTCCATGATTTCTTTTCACTCTTATTTAACAAAATTGTTTTATGAAAGTGAAGTTTTAAAAATATTTAGTGAGTACCTACCATGAAACAGCTACTGTTTTAAGCATTATATATATATGTGTGTGTATATATATATATATAGACTCATTTATTATTCATAACAACCTATAGGAGGTAGATACTATTATTCCCCTTTTTACAGATGAAGAAATTGAGGCACAGCTTATGTAACTGGTTTAACCGAGATCACACAAGTGATGGGATCGGGAAATATATTTGATGTGGTGGTGGATATTTTAGAATTTTGACATGAACTCTTGGTAATCTGGTTAAGATTTTAAACTCAACTAATTTTAGTGTAGGTCTCTGATTTAGAAATTTGTCATTTTTTACACTTGAAAAACTAAATTTTTATCACAGAATTTTGATTAATTTTATGAGACATATTTTACAGATTTATATATCAGTATTTGATATATACTATCTCATAGTTTTAACTAATTTCATCAGTCTAGCCACCTGGATAATTCCTAATTGCTTTGGCCATCTCACACATCTTTATTCAAAGTATTTTTACCTCTCTTGCCAATCCAAAGTCTTCTGATCAACCCTGGACCTAGAGACCTACGGAAACTATAATTGAGGTCTACCTCTTTTTCTGATCCATACCTCTTTCATTTGTCTTGTCAACTTTCATTTGTTCCTTGGAGCTCTGTCTTTTCACTTCATTCTGTCCCTACTTGCATTGTGATTCAGACTCTGCTAGTAGCTTTGTTGTGATCTCTGTAGCACCCCTGACTTGCCCTCTACCCTAGATATGGGGGAGAAATGGGAGTTTCAGGCTATCATTTTTATTGTTAGTATTTTTATTAGCCACGGAAAATAATCATTTCTGTAATCATTATTCTCTTTTCCTTCCTTATCACTAGCTTTTTATGTATATATGAGGAGAAGGATGTCTCCCTCTTTGGGGGCTTTGTCCAGCAGAGTGATCAGCAAAGGAATGATATAAAGGAGAGTAGATCCTCATGTTACCTAATATCTATTTACCAGAATTATGGAGCTAGAACATTCCACTTGTTTGACCAAAGAACCTGGAGATATTTATGTAGACCTGAAAAGATAACAGGATCACATGGGAAATACATATCGATTTTAATGTATTTATTAGAGTAAAGCATGTCTGATAATCTCTATCTTTTTTAAAGATTCGGAAACCCCGACCTCAGAGAGAACGTGCTCAGTGGGATATTGGCATTGCCCATGCAGAGAAAGCATTGAAAATGACTCGAGAAGAAAGAATAGAACAGTATACTTTTATCTATATTGATAAACAGCCTGAAGAGGCTTTATCCCAAACAAAAAAGAATGTTGCCTCCAAAACTGAAGTTAAAAAAACTCGACGACCAAGATCTGTGCTGAATACTCAACCAGAACAGACCAATGCAGGGGAGGTGGCCTCCTCACTCTCAAGTACTGAAATTCGGAGACATAGCCAGAGGCGGCACACAAGTGTGGAAGAGGAAGAGCCACCTCCTGTTAAAATAGCCTGGAAAACTGCGGCAGCAAGGAAATCCTTACCAGCTTCCATTACGATGCACAAAGGGAGCCTGGATTTGCAGAAGTGTAACATGTCTCCAGTTGTGAAAATTGAACAAGTGTTTGCTCTTCAGAATGCTACAGGGGATGGGAAATTTATCGATCAATTTGTTTATTCAACAAAGGTACCTCCTTTTTTCATGGCGTTTTTTGGGGGATGGTATTTTAAAAGTGGTCAATGTTGGCATTTAAAAAACAACCTTGGCAACATTTAAATACCCTTTCTACCCACTGAATTTGAAACATACAGTCATTGTACTCTGTGGGCAAAAAAGACAGGCAAAAAGGCTATGTTTTTCTTCTTTTCTTCCTCCTCCTTTTGTGATATTCCCATCTGTAGTAGATTAGTCTTTAGCTGTGCAGCCAAAATTGAGCTTAGCTCCCTAAAATCATGGAAAAAAACTGGGCACTTCGCCTGTTTCTAGTTTGTGTAGTTAGCTTTTCTTAGTTGCAAAGTGTGCTTTTTATTAAAATCGTTTTTGTTAATTATATGACCATTGTTATAAAAGCCACTGTAATAATTGTACCTGCTGAGCTGTTTGGTTCCACCAGCAATTTTGTTTGATTCTTATTGGCTTGGGATATCTAACTGCATTTCACAGAAATCCCAGAACTTTTTTTGTTCTGTAACAATTAGCTGTGGCAATAACTTGGGCAATGGGCTAAAAACAGCCTCTACAAACTATGTGCCTTCATCAGTTTGTGCTGGGCCTCCATTTAGGGCACTGTACTTCAGCTTGAAGGCTTTAAAACTCTTCCATAATATTGGTAGTATTTATTCCATGTACCTCTTCACTACCATCCCATCCCACACCACAGTGTCGAGTTTGGGATTTTGATTTAGTTCCATTTCATTCATGTGTATGAAAGAAGTCTATGCTTATTTTTTTCCCTAATATAGCCATATACAGTATAATTAGTTAAACACAGGTATGCTTCATTAGTAATACATCTTCCTAGAGAAACGTTAAGGATGCTCTTTTAACTGGGTCTGCCTATAAGTTCAGCTGATTTCAGTTAAGGCCAAGTTACCTAGAAAAACATGAGTTGCAGTCTTGGTTATCTTGATAGCAAATGAATATTTTTCATCTTTCGAATAGCAAATGAGTATGCATCTTTTTTGAGTACAAATTGGTTTTATTCTTGGAGCTAGCTTTACTGCTTCTGTATGTACAAGTCATACTTTGTCACCACCACCTCGAAGAATGCTATTTAAAGGAATTCAAGATAAAACTGATCTTTCAAAATGAAGGCTTTAAAAATACGTGTGTGTGTGTGTGTGTGTGTGTGTGTGTGTGTGTGTGTACATGTATTTATTTTTAAGAGATGAGGTCTAACTCTGTGGCCCAAGCTGGAGTACAGTGGTCGATCATAGCTCAATGCAGCCCCAAGTGATCTTCTGCCTTGGCCTCCCACAGCACTGAAATTACAGGCATGAGCCACCGTGTGCCTGGCGTTTTAAAAATTGTTTGTAGAGATAGGGTCTTACTATGGTGCCCAGGCTGGTATCAAACTCCTGCCCTCAAGCTCTTCTCCTGCCTCAGCCTCCCAAAGTGTTGAGATTACAGGCAGGAGCTATGGTGCCTGGCCATATATGTTTATTTATAGATCACTTCTTTACTTCTATTGCATTGCACTCAGAATACCTAAAATGAGACCTAAGTTATTTATACCTGCCTTCTTTCTGCCCCAGATTACTTATTGGGTTACATTTTGGTCACCATGAGTGACATATTTCTGTATCTAGGAATATTCCTGCCTGTTAAGACATGTTGGCATTGTTTTCTGTGTAATAGAGCACTTTACTAAATGAAAATGACTTGGAGTTCTCTTACTGTGATATGTATAAAGACCAGAACATATTTTGTTTTGATAGAAAATTGAGTGATACAGGTGTGTTTTTTTGGTGACATTTATCACCTGGACTTAGACAAATACTCTTCCTTGCGCAATCTTTTCGTACTTTTTAAAATATATATTGGACTCAGCTGGGCATGGTGGCATGCACCTGTAGTTTCAGCTACTCAGGGAGGCTGAGGCAGGAGAATTGCTTGAACCCAGGAGGCAGAGGTTGCAGTGAGCCAAGATTGCACCACTGCAGAGCAGCCTGGGCGACAGAGGGAGACTCCATCTCCAAAAAAAAAAAAAAGAAATTTTTTAATTAAAAAAAAAACATACCTTGGTCACTTAATCAAATTTGTTCTGATAAAAGCTAAGATAATAATTGCAATCAAAGATCAGATAAAATTTAAGCAAATTATGATTTGAAGCCATCTTTATAAGCCAATGCCACTTGCCTGGTAATCACCTGTTTTGTTGTTTTTTCTTTTGCCTTATTTTAAAGGGAATTGGTAACAAAACAGAAATAAGTGTCAGGGGGCAAGACAGGCTTATAATTTCTACACCAAACCAGAGAAATGAAAAGCCAGCGCAGAGTATATCATCTCCTGAAGCAACATCTGGTTCTACAGGTTGGTATGAGTGAAGAGTATATATAGGTCAATTTTGAGAAGTCATTGTTCTATTCTGCTATAATATGGTAGCTGTGTTCCTAAGAAACTCTCAGTTATCAAAAGTAAATTATATTTAAAAACCAAATAATAAAAGCAGTTATTTTAATAGGAAAGAATGGGCTAGGGGCTACAGAACTTTATTCATAGCAAGTTATTTTTTTGTACAAGAATTTAATAAGAGGGTTCTATAATTAAAAGTGTATACCTATAAAAATCTATACATATCTGAGTAAACACACCATTGATTCTCTCTCTTTGCATAATAACAACTTTACTTTTCCCACTCTATTAACACACACGTACTATTTTCTCCTTTACCTCTGTTGGAAACAAATTGGCAGATGTCAGAGCTCTTGTCATTATTCCTAGATGTGCTAGATACTAGTAGCTGAGGGGCCTAGAGCCTAATTGTCTTAATGTAACCTGTTTTCTGATTAACAGATACCATGAATTGAAAATCAAGCCATGTTATTCTTGCTTAAAGGAGAAATGACTGTATTCAGTAAGATGGTGCCTTTGGAATGTTTAACTTTTTTTTTTTTTTTTTTTTTTTGAGTCAGGGTCTCACTCTGTCATACAGAGTGGAGTACAGTGGTACGATCATGGCTTACTACAGCCTCAACCTCCCAGGCTCAGGTGATCCTCCCACCTTAGCCTCCCAGGTAGCTGGGACCGCAAGCACATACCACCATACCTGGCTAAGTTTTTGTATTTTTTGTAGAGATGAGGTTTTGCCATGTTGGCCAGGCTGGTCTCGAACTCCTGGGCTCAAGTGATCTACCCACCTCAGCCTCCCAGTGTGCTGGGATTATAGCCATGTGCCACTGCACCCAGCCAACATTATTTTTTTTGTTTTTAGACTAACTTACTAAGGGTTTTAGAATTTTAATTGAATATCTGGTGGGCTTGGTTTATATAACAGTATTATATCAGTAATATTTCTGTAATACTTCTTGCTTCAGATAGCTGTCAAGAAAAGAGTTAAGTATTAACTAGCTTGTTCATTTGGAATCTTAGTTTAGGAGAAGGGAGTCTGCTTCATTTCTTTTTTTCTTTTTTTTTTTTGAGATAGAGTCTATCCCTGTCACTCAGGCTGGAGTGCAATGGCCAAGTCTCGGCTCACTGCAATCACTGCCTCCTGGGTTCAGGTGATTCTCCTGCTTCAGCCTCCTGAGTAGCTGGGATTACAGTCGCCTGCCACTGTGCCCGGCTAATTTTTGTATTTTTAGTAGAGTCGTGATTTTACCGTATTGACCAGGCTGGTCTCGAACTTCTGACCTTGTGATCTGCCTGCTTCGGCCTCCCAAAGTGCTGGGATTACAGACGTGAGCCACTGCACCTGGTCTCATTTTGTTCTTTAAAAATTTTTTTTTTGAATCTAAGAATTGAGTATAGTAGAAAAAAAAGATAAACTGTTTTCTGAACGTACTTATTGACCCAGATATGCTTCCCCCCCACCCCCACACTGACCAGTTCTCCATCACCAGCTGGGTGTCCTATGATCCAATTCAATTCTCACACTGTCTCCCTGGTGTTAGAGTCTGATCCCTCAGGTTAACGGCTCAGCCCTATGAGACTGCCCCCACTTCAGATGCCAGTCGCAAGTCTGAACTTCTGACTGACCAGCTATAAATTGGAGGTTCTCATAACTCCCCTCCTTGGTTTAGTCATTTGCTAGAGCATCTCACAGAACTCGGAAGCCCTTCCTTACATTACTGGTTCATGATAAAGGCTATGGATGGCAAAGGATACAGATGAAGAGCCAGTTGGAAGAGATGCACAGGGCAAGATACATGGAAAGGCCTGTGGAGCTTCCATGCCCTCTCTTGCCATGCCACCCTACAGGCACCTTCATGTGTTTAGCAACCTGGAGTTTCTCCAAATTCTGTAGCTCAGGGATTTTTATGAAGACTTTATCATGTAGGCATGATCAATTATTAACTCCGTCTTCAGCCCCTCTCCCCTTCTCGGATGATGAGGGAGGTGGAGATTAAAGCATCTAATCATGGCTTGGTCTTTCTTGTGACCTAGGAGTTCACCAAGAGTTGCCTCTTTAGAACAGAAAACACTCACCTTACCCAGGAAATTCCAAGGGATTAGGAGCTCTGTGCCAGGAACCAGGGGCAGAGATCAAATATATATTTCTTATATCACAGTGACCAAGTAATTTTCTAGATGGATCAAAGTCTTAAGACCTGAAGTAGTAATCGTGAATCAATAGTAACTCAGGCAAACCTGTGACTGACTGGCATAAAGGGTGAATTTTTGTAAGGGAAATATTTAAGATTTGAATTATTATAATAGCAAAATAAAAACAATCACTGTTCACAAAGGTATTTGGGCTAGCTTTCTTAAAATAATGGGAGCTGCAGGACAGGGAGAGGTAATGCCAGTGGAGATGGGGTACATGTTGGATGGGGCATTTTATTTTTTTTTAATTTTTTTAATTTTTTAATTTTTTTTTTTTTTGAGACGGAGTTTCGCTCTTGTTACCCAGGCTGGAGTGCAATGGTGCGATCTCGGCTCACCGCAACCTCCGCCTCCTGGGTTCAGGCAATTCTCCTGCCTCAGCCTCCTGAGTAGCTGGGATTACAGGCATGCGCCACCATGCCCAGCTCATTTTTTGTAGTTTTAGTAGAGATGGGGTTTCACCATGTTGACCAGGATGGTCTCGATCTCTTGACCTCGTGATCCACCCGCCTCGGCCTCCCAAAGTGCTGGGATTACAGGCGTGAGCCACCACGCCCGGCCCGGGGCATTTTATTTTTAAACAGCCTTTTTTCCTCCCCCACCTTGAGATGAAGTCTTGCTCTGTCGCCCAGGCTGTAGTACAGTGGCACGATCTCAGCTCACGGCAACCTCCGCCTCCTGGGTTCAGGTAATTGTCCTGCCTCAGCCTCCCACATAGCTGGGACTACAGGTGTGTGTCACCACGCCCAGCTATTTTTATATTTTTAGTAGAGACAGGGTTTCACCATATTGGCCAGGGTGGTCTGCAACTCCTGACCTCATGATCTGCCTGCCTCGGCCTCCTAAAGTAATGGATTACAGGCATGAGCCACCACACCTGGCCTAAACAGCCTTTTTCAGTATGGAATTGGGAAAGAAAGTTGTAAAGGAGGGCGTGAATAGCAAAGTCCAGTACTACATTTGCAACTTGTATCATTTCAAAATACTTTATAAAAAGATGAACTTACAATGTCAAAGGAATGAGTAGATGGACTTAGAAGATTTCACATTAGTCATAATTGAGAATGTTCCTTTTCTTTGAATATTAAAAGAATCTTTTGACCTCCACTTTCCATAATTAGGTACGTCAGTTTTGTTACCCCTTTATACTAAATGATTAGTAATTTGTCTGAATTTAAGTGGGGGATCTTTATTTGACATCAGCATTTTCCTCAGGAGAAAGTAAATTCTTCCTGTATTAGACTGATCTTAACTCAAATATTAGGCTTTTATTTTGGATGCAGCTTGTTTTTCTTCTTCCTCTCAGTTACTGAAATTTTGTTTTGTTTTATTTTGTTTTGTTTTTTAAGACAGGGTCTTGCACCCAAGTTGGATTGCAGTGGTGTGATCATAGCTCACTGTAACCTTAAACTCCTGGGCTCCTGCAATCCTCCTACCTCAGGCTCGTGGAGTAGCTGAGACTATTGGTGCTGGCCACCATGCTTGGCTAATTTATTTTATTTTTATTTTTTATAGAGATGGGGTCTCACCTTGTTCTCCAGGCTGGTCTCGAATTCCTGGGCTCAAGCGATCCTCCTGTCTTGCCCTCCTGAAGTTCTGGGATTACAGGCGTGAGTCGCTGTGCCCAGCCTGAACATTTTCTTTTTATGTAGTCTTTTCATTGTAAGATTTAAGTTCTGTTGTGAATTTTTCCTTTTTTCTTATTTAAGTGGAAGGTTATACTTCTTTATATCCAGAAAAAGCCAGTATTGTTCTTTGCTTAAGCAGCCACATAGAATTGAGGTTGTAAATTAAGATTGAAAACTTAATTTAGGGCCAGGCGTGGTGGCTCAAGCCTTTAATCCCAACACTTTGGGAGGCCAAGGTGGGCAGATCATGAGGTCAGGAGTTTGAGGCCAGCCTAGCCAACATGGTGAAACCCTGTCTCTACAAAGGTACACACACAAAAAATAATTAACTGGGGATGGTGGTGCCCGCCTGTAATCCCAGCTACTTGGGAGGCTGAGGCAGGAGAATCGCTTGAACCCGGGAGGCAGAGGTTGACAGTGAGCCAAGATGGCGCCATTGCACTCCAGCCTGGGTGACAGGGTGAGACTCCGTCTCAAGAAAGAAAAAAAGAAAAAAGCCGGGCGCGGTGGCTCACGCCTGTAATCCCAGCACTTTGGGAGGCCGAGGCGGGTGGATCACGAGGTCAAGAGATCGAGACCATCCTGGTCAACATGGTGAAACCCTGTCTCTATTAAAAATACAAAAAATTAGCTGGGCATGGTGGTGCGTGCCTGTAATCCCAGCTACTCAGGAGGCCGAGGCAGGAGAATTGCCTGAACCCAGGAGGCGGAGGTTGGGTGAGCCAAGATCGCGCCATTGCACTCCAGCCTGGGTAACAAGAGCGAAACTTCATCTCAAAGAAAAAAAAAGAAAAGAAAAGAAAACTTAATTTAGGGACTGGTGCTCTAAAGCTTTGATCTTGGTTGAAGTTTGGTTACCAGCTATGGTTGATAAGCATACTTTGTCTTTTTAAATGACCATTTTGCTTTTGGTGAAAATAACTTCAGTAGTTGAAAAGTCAGAATAGAGACTTGTTCATGCTTGAGAAACTAATTGCATCATCTCAGCTGGTGTTAACTGCTTGAGGAAATTCTTGAGCCTTTTCTTAGTAAATTTCAGGGATACATAAAATGTGTGGCACTGTCACATTTTTGTCATTTGAAGAATTGTACTTGTATTCACACTAGTTTTCAAAGCTATTTTCCAAACCCAGAAATGCTCACCTCCTCTTTCTTAGAACATGAACATAATACTCTTCAATGGTTTTAAATGTACGTGTCCTTTGGGTAATTTTGAGAATAATTTTTTAAAAATCATGTTGCTTTATTCTCTGTAAGACAGTAAATCAAATCTTATCTGTTCTTCATGGTGTGATTATATTACCCTCAACACAACTAAATATTTTTTTGTTTGTTTTTAAGTAATTCCATTTTCATTTTTGCCCTCCCTAGAGTAGAACTTGAATATTGACCCTTACACTTAAGTATAGATCCCTGGGATTCTCAGGTCAGTCTGGGAGGGTAGCATATCTGTTGTCTTAGGAAACATTTTCGTCAGTGTAAGGCGAAGACAGTAAAAAAAAGGAGCAGGCCAGATGTGGTGGCTCACGTCTGTAATCCCAGCACTTTGGGAGGCCAAGGCAGGCAGATCATGAGGTCAGGAGATCAAGACCACCTTGGCTAACACAGTGAAACCCCATCTCTACTAAAATTACAAAAAATTAGCAGGGCGTGGTGATATGCACTTGTAGTCCTAGCTTACTCAGGAGGCTGAGGCCTGAGAATCACTTGAACCCAGGAGGCAGAGGTTGCAGTGAGCTGAGATTGCGCCACTACACTCCAGCCTGGGCAAAAGAGTGAAACTTTGTCTCAAAAAAAAAAAGAGCCAATACTTTTATTTGTGATTACTATAACTTGATTAACTACAGCTCTAAAATAATATATTATCATCAGACTACCCACTCCTTCCCAAAAACAAAACAAAGTAGTGGGATCCTTCATTTTGGATTTGAACTAAAGTGAGGGGAAGTCATTTATACATAGCCAAGAGCAATGAAACCAGAAAATATAAAGGTTATATGAAAGGCTTTATAGATATAGCTTCTGTCTGATTTTATAGGTCTTAGTGGCTTCTTCCTATGGCAAGTGAGAGGTGATTATGATTTAGGAAGGAACATGTAGGTGTCCAAGCACTGAAAACGCGGAGAACAGCTGCACTGCAGGTATCATTCCTCCTCAGGCTCACGGAATGAAATCATTCCTTAGTTTCTTTCAAGTTGTGTTCTTCAATTTCAGTTTTATCCTTTCCAAAAATGGGGTCCATGTGAGTTTTCTTCAATTTGCTTTTAAAGAATTGTGGTCTTTAAAAATCTTAATAGTTTATTTTACCGTTTAACGTGAAAAAGCCTGATAATTTGTTTCAACTTGTTTTCCACAACTAATTATTTCCAAAGTATAACATCCCTTATAGTTAAATTAATGATTAGGTTCACATTTTTGTGCTTTTCCGGCTTTCGTTGTTAATAACAATAGCAAAATTTATATAGGTGCAACAAGCCTTGTTAACTATTTTACATACAGAATTAATTAAACTCATTTGTTAAAATACAAAATGATTGAATTTTTGAACCAGTGATTCCTAACATCAAGTGGGTAATAAAGACATTTTTATGCATCCCTTCAGTCCCTTCATTCCCTCAATTATATTTACCTAAAGAGGTTTATGTGCCTTTAAAACTAAACTATGTCTCTGCTGTTTTAGTTTGACTTTTTAATTTTTAAAAAACCAATCCCTGTTTATTTGTATAATTTAAGAACCTTTGTGAATCCCAGTCTGAGCTCATCAGCCTTTACAATTTGTTCTGTTAAATAATTTATATGCTCCTGAGTATTTAGCAGCTTTTAATGATTTTAATTAAAATTCTAAAAGTAATGGATAAGAAAAGCAAGGAATTTGGTCATATCTTAATTACATAGATGTCAAGAAATCCTTAAATGAGTTTTTGTTTGTGTGTTTAAATCATTTCTTAGGCTCAGTAGAAAAGAAGCAACAGAGAAGATCAATTAGAACTCGTTCTGAATCAGAGAAATCCACTGAGGTCGTGCCAAAGAAGAAGATCAAAAAGGAGCAGGTTGGCTTCCTACATGTAGAGAGTTAAAACATTGTATTTGTAAATGTTGTGGCTTACATTCCTATCTTAAAAGAAAGAGAAACTTTCTCCCACACTGGGTTTCCTTTCTGGACTGTCTTACACTTCTGTCCTGGTGGGTTCCAGTGCTCAATTTTAATACAGCCATTCCTGTGATTCTGCTTCAAGCATTTTCACAGAAAACAGGCTTCAGGAGATGGGAAGCCAATGGTGCAAGACTCTTAAAAAATCCTTCACATTTATTTAGAAGTTTCGGTTGTCAGCAAAATGATATCATGTTTTTATAATTTTTATTTGGAACCATCATTGAGTTCCCTTTTTTTTTTTTTTAATTTTGATTTTTGGTTTAAGCTGCTGGTATGTATTGTTTTTTATTTTTTAAACAAATCAATTAATTTATATTCTTATATTTAAGAAGCAGATAATCATAGATGATCTGGTTTTTCTGTTTATATCGCAGATTTTTTGGAATGTTATTTTCCCAGTGGAATATTCAGCTGGTATCAGGTTGTCAGATAAATAATATTTAGTTAAAAAAAAGGCGAGGGGGGTTGCATTTTGACTGAAGTATATTAAACCAGTGTAATCAATATAGTAAGATACATTTAAATGACCTTTTCAAAGAAAATTTTAGAAACCATTCTTTTTGAAATTAAACTCACAATCAGATTTTTAAAAAAATTTTTAGTGAAAGAGTATCCATTCTTACAGCCTAAACACCTGCTAGTAAAGAAAACAAATTTTGAATAAAATTAGTTTCAATAAGTTTTATATTTTTTAAACCATTTAATATGGAAGAGTGTGGGCTTTTTTATTTAAAATATGTCCATCATTTTAAACTTCCAAATTTAAAAGCTAACCTTGTAGGTGCTCTGTGGTATCACCAAGCAAGTGAAACAGTTTTTCCAGAATATTTAACTAAAACTTAAATAGTATACTAATTTGTCATTCATCATATTAACTTTCATATTTCATACTTAGGAAATTATATTCCAAAAAATCTTTCTAAGCTCTTGAAGATCTATAGTATTCATTACCAAAATAAAGTTGTGATTTTGCCAGCTGGTTCCCAAATTCAGTCTGTGACCAGTCAGTTTTAAACTAATACGCAGAATGAGTACAAAAAGCAGGACAAATTGTTAATGCCACTGTGTTATAGTTAGAAATAGGACAATGCCAGTGATTGTTTAGAAGATTTTATATTTGTATTACTAATTGTATCTTATAAAAGCATTTCTGTTGTATGTTTTTTTACCTGTTGTAAAAAAAAAAAATAAAAATTTTTTTAAAAAGCTTAGAACAATCCTTAAATATTTACAAAATGTGTTTCAACATTCATATTTCACCACATCTTAAAGAAACATGAAATTCAATTCATAGCTTAAACAGGAACTCCTCCAAACAGCATCCTTTCTCTAATTCCAATGGTTCGATCCTCAAATTACCACGTGTTTTACATATACATTGGCAGAATAACTTCTGATCTCGCTCTCCTGATGTAGGATCAAGACACTGTTCATAAGACACTCAAGAAAGTGCTTTTGCAATATCACAAACTTATTTTCTTAAGTTTGTACTAGCAGCAAAAGTATTGAGCTTCCAGCTGTATGGAGCCCTGTAGCACTCTCTACAGAGAGGGTCCTGATTCCCAGCAACTTAGCTGTGAGTGCAGGCGCGGAAGGGTCTTAAAGTGGCGTGAGTTACATTAACCTGAGTATCATAGTAAGTAAAAATTTATCCTAACGTCTTTGGGGCGGGAGGGGTTTATAGCAACATTGGGGCTGGTTGTAGAAACAACCCCTCTCCTGCCTTCCAGACACTGAGAAAAGTGTTCTTATTCTCTTCATATACCAAGGGAATGGTGGGAAAAGTCTTTGCTAGAGAGCATGTGGCTGTGTGTTGTCACTTGGTATTCAGCACAGGCAGCTAGGATTTAAACCCTCCCTGAGTTTGAGACAGAGAACTTTACCCAGAAGATGGGACTGAGTTCAGATTTCAGATACATTAATCACTCATCATTACTTAGATTGATGAAAGTATCTTTTCCCTCTGTTAATAATTAAAAGGGAAAAAAATTCCCTGTTAATGCTGTGTTTTTCTGTCCAAACAGGTAGAAACAGTTCCTCAGGCTACAGTGAAGACTGGATTACAGAAAGGTGAGTTAATATTATAATGTTGCTTTGCATTTCCTTGATTAAAACCAATTTTTAAGAATTACTTATTTGTACTTCATGTATTTTTGTCTGTCTCTGTAAATCATTGTTGTTGCTCTTCAGTGTGAAATTGCAGTATTCCCCAGTGTTTGTGTGTGTGTGTGACTTTTAGAGTTGATCTTATTCTGTACCTCCAAGGGAAAGTCTTACTTGTTTTGGTAAATTGGAGAACACCACGTAGACTTGATACTGTTTCCAACTTTTCTCCATAAGATTCTGGGGTTTCACTGGCTTATAAACTAGGGATGTGACGAATCCACTTTTTTTGGTATTCGACTGAATACCGAATAGTAGCTATTCATGTTTGTCAAACATGGACAAATCAGACAAGACAACCTGATTGAAAAAATCTTGCCACATTTATTTTTACAGTGCTGTAAAATCTTTTTGTAAATTAAAATGATTCATAGCATATTTATGGCCACTATTAGATGACCTTATGCGAATCTATTTGAGATATGCACAAAGTTTTAAAAAGCTTAAACTTATATCTGTATTTTCTGTGTGCAATTTGACTACAGTACAAACTCCATAGCATGATTCGTGCGTTTTTGGTGAGATCAAACTGTATTTAATACCTGTAGTTTACTCTGGGCAAATTGCATTATTTAAAAATAAAATAAAATAAAACAACAGCCTCTCTGCATTCTCGGGGAGAAGTCTGCAGCGATGGTCTCCGTGGAGATCCTCAGCAGAACTGAACAGCCTCTCGGAGGGAACACTGCTTGGCGGAGCTCCAAGAAAAGACATCGCGATCGCTGCGAGATTAGGAGGCCTGATTGCGTTGTGTTTCCACCATTCCACAGGGTCGGCGGACCGGGGAGTGCAGGGCTCTGTCAGATTCAGTGACAGCTCCGTCTCCGCAGCGATTGAGGAAACTGTGGACTGAGATTCCTGTACAATTTCATCCCAGAAACTCCAGACTTGTAGTCTCCATGCAAGATTTCTTTGTCGGCGGCTCGATAAACAGTTTCTTTGTTTTCGATTTTGATTTTGCCAATCATCATTATTGGCATTTTCCTGCCTGGTTTCTTCTTCAAGACTCTGAACAATTGCTTTAACATTCAAATGATTTTTTTTTTCGGTTTGAGCTGGATGGGTACAGCTTAAATCATGGGTCCAGCCTAAAAACCACCATTTAACTTACACTGATCAATTTCAACATGGACTGTTTTTGGTTTTTTGTTTTTAAATAAAGCATCATTAATGCACATCTGCAGGGTTTTGCCAAACAGCCCAAACTGTATACATTACAATCATTAAAAGTTCTTATTTTTTTTAATATTAGTGCCGTTATCATGGAGAACAGCATGACAGCTGTCTTTGGCAGTCTGTCATTTTTCTAGCATTTTCAGAAACTCATCGGAAATGGCGGTACCTGTGTTTCCCTTCGAAAGCCTCTCAGTACAGCACTCCTGTTCCTCTGTTAAAACTCCTTGTTAATCCAGTGATCTTTTAGGCCAAGGAAATATTTTGTGGTGGTGTTCTGGGTCCATACACCAGCAATGAAGGAGATAGATTTGTGTACTTGTGTTTTTTAATCAGCATTAACATGGGCAGGCACCCTCATTTATAGATGTCAGGAAACATTCAGTGAAAAACTTGTAGAATGGGATGTGATAACGAGGTTCCAGTAATCTGAGCAGTCTAACGAGGCCCACCTCCTCCACCTCAGAACGTGGCTATGTTCCAAGTGCTACTCTCACTCAGCCTGTTGCGGATCTTCATGGCCTCAGGAGACTTGTTTCTCCATGGGCTCTTCTGGACTGCACACTTCCATCATAGCTTGCTGGGCTGATCTAGATGTCTGTTTGTTGTATGAAAATTTTGGGGGAAAAAAATCCAAAACACAAACTGTGGGTTGAAATATTAACCGTCTCCTTGGTTCCTTGGTATTCACCGTGCCTGATCTGCACATTTCATCGTGGCTGTTTCTGTATAGCCTATATACTGCATTAGCCCAAGAGATTGTTGCTTTGTAACTTTTTGCACTATTGTTTTGGCTGGATTTGTATTACACACAGTTTTAAAAAAAAATTCCACACTATTCTCTGCCTTTTTTTTCCTATTTATTTCTTCCCGCACAAATTCCACATAGAGGCCTCCCATCCAGCTCTACGTGATTTGGCTGCACCTGAACACTGATTGTCCATTTACAACCCTCAGCAGTATGCCTCCTAAATGGCATGACATATGTAGATGTGCTGCAGCGCTTGTTAATGGTCACAATAAATGCCACTTCACCAAGGAAGTCTCAGATGAACAATTATGAACATCCAAATTTTATTGGGGGGCAATAATCAACTGAATTGCAAAATTCGGGGGAAAATGGCACTATCCGTGTACGAATCGAATACAAATCAAAGATTTGTCACATCCCTAATAAAAACAAGATGGAGATGTCTCTGCGACCATATTTGTAAGCTACACAGTATGTTGGGTTTTATGTCTTCCCCCTCCAAATTGAATGGTTCTTTGAATTGCTCCAGATCCATCAGCTATCCTGCAATTTTGATAGGATTGATTTTTAGGTTGGAACGTGGGCTCTGTTGACTGAAAATAGCTTTAGAGGAGGAGAACTGAATTAAATGTTTTGATAGAATGGTTGTAAATTAAATCAATCACTACCAGGAAGGTCAGAGTTCTGAAATTTTGACTCATTATTTCATTGTTAACAAAGAGAGCTGTGCTTTTTCCACACTAAAGATGAGTTTGGGAAAAGAAAGTATTCTCCCACACACAAAAAAATTAAACCTTACATACTATTTTAGGATTAATTTCAGTGTGTTGTATTAAGGTGCCAGCGAGATTTCAGATTCCTGTAAACCTCTAAAGAAAAGGAGTCGCGCCTCAACTGACGTAGAAATGACTAGTTCAGCATACAGAGACACATCTGACTCCGATTCTAGAGGACTGAGTGACCTGCAGGTAAATATGTGCAAGGGTCTGGATGAAGTGCTGTTTCTTGAACATAATGCTTTTTCCTAATTTATTTGGGGAAATTGGAAAAAATTTTTAAATACTCATAGAAAAAAATCACTGGTTATTTTGTAACTTACGAGCATCTTAATTTTTTTGCATTCATGTTATATAACAAAACTATAGTTTGTTTGTAATTTTAACTACAATTTTTCCCAAAACAGCAGACCTATGATAACTGTGGATTTTGGAAAGAAAGGAAGGAAAAAAGAGGTTGTTGTGTAAAGATCTAATGTTTGAGCAAGTCTTACTAGGATTTTCATAGGATCTAACTTTGGGGGACATTTTGTTCTGTTTTTCTTAAAAATACTATGTTTTCTATGTAGGTAGGCTTTGGAAAGCAAGTAGATAGCCCTTCAGCTACTGCAGATGCAGACATTTCTGATGTGCAGTCCATGGATTCAAGTTTGTCAAGAAGAGGCACTGGAATGAGTAAGAAGGACACTGTATGTCAGGTAGGCAGGTAACTGGTGCGATGGCTTGAAACAATTGCTATTATATTCTGCCAATAATAGACTTAACTCCTGTTGAAGAGGGTAATATGTTTCTAAATTATTGTGATATTACTTTAAAGCTACGGTTCTAAAAACTCTCTTTCTGGTTTTTTTTTTTTTTTCCTTTCTGAGTTGGAATACTTACCCACATGCCAATTTCTAGTGTAATATATTATTATTAATTGGAAGTAAATGGCAGATGGCTGATTGGAAAAACTTTCTTAAATTCAAAATTTTAAAGTAATAACTTTCTCACTGTATTTTTACCATCCTTGAAAAATACTGCTTTGCCCTGTGAAGAAAAGTTACATATGCAGATCCCAAAGAAGGAATCATAAAAGATCAAGTATGACTTTAAGCTTTATACCATATTGGATCAGGAAATACTGTAATTGTCTAGTTCTCTGGTTCTCAAAGTGAAGGCCAAAGACAAACAACATCAGCATCTTCTGGATACAGGGGCCCCCACCAGAACTACTGAATCACAATCTGTGGGTGAGGGACCCAGTAATTTGTGTTGTAACAGGCCCCCCATGTGGTCCTGATGTTTGCCAAAAGTTTGAACCACTGCTTTTTGCCATATTACAGATTTGTGAAAGCTCTGGCGACTCTCTGATTGCTTGTGAGGGAGAGTGCTGCAGACACTTTCACCTGGAGTGCCTGGGACTGACATCACTCCCTGATAGCAGGTTCATCTGCATGGAATGTAAAACCGGTAAGATGACTTAACTTCGATAGTCGTGAAAAGATGAATGGGATTATGCCAGGAATATGCACTGGCAACCTCTCCTGGGACATTTTGTTCTCATCATTTTTATTAGCCCGCCTCCCTTCTTCCCATAGGTCTTTCAGCAAATTAAGATTCAGCTTCAAGATTAAAAGAATAGTTAAATGTCCTCCTACTGGTGCCTTCTGCCATAAAATCTGTCAAATTACCAAGATCAATTTGAGTTTTATCTAAAGAGTTATACAAATTATGTTAATTGAGTTATTTTTCAAATGGATTTGAGATTTGGGGGGCTAAATAAATTGGGTTAAAGTTCTTTAATAGACTGTAACACAAGTATCATTGCATAACTACAGTGACTATATTTTTAGTTGAAATTTGGAGCTACTAGAAATCATTTTTTAAACTTGGGATTCACCATTTATTTCTTATCTCACTATGCATAGACTACCACCTACCAAAGTAATTTGTAGAGAAATAAATATGCCAGTTTGTATTTCTTCTCTCTGTAGCCATAATTCTGGTTAATATGAAAAGCAAGTAGTAGTTGTTAAACTCGTAACAACATGGCAAATAAAAAGTAACTGGGATGACATGGTGGTGCTTCCAGGAACCATTCACATTTTTTTTTGTTTTGCTTTGCTTTGTTTTAGCTATAAGGAACTAAGCCAATTGGATAGCAAATATATATGATATGCTGATGTTACCTTTGACTCTTTATTGTTTTTCTACTCCTTTCCCTTTTATTTGGATGTGACTCTTTATTATTTTTCTTACCTTTAACTCTATTATTTTTCTACTCCTTTTCCTTTTATTTGGATTCTTACTGGTTTATTTTCTTATTTGATTGTATGCCTCCTAAAACCTTTATTTTTTTACTGAACACTGACTTATTAAATACCACGTGTTACGAGTACTAAGCATTTTCTCCTGCTATTTCATTTGATCCATGATGAGATAGGTACTATTATGATTTCCATTATACAGAAGGAGAAACTGAGGATTAGAGAGTTTAGTACTTTGCCCAGATTCACAAAGGTAGCGCATGATGACTCTAGGATTTAAACCCAGCAGCTTGACTCCAGATTTTTTTTTTCTTTACCGCAGTCTTCTACTGCCTTAGAGAGTAGGATGGACATCGCAAGTCATATGTCATATATCCTAATATACACTTATTCACATACACACACACACACACACACACACAAATACACACACACACACACCACACACATACACAAACTAAGCTATAGAAGCTGTTTAGAATATATAACTTAAAATTTGTCCCTTATAAAATATTTTATTTATCACATTTAGACTCTGCAGTAAAACTTGTGAACCGTTTGTCAACAGGCAGCCCGTGGGTCATATTATCTGCACACCATTTTGTTTGGCCTTCAGAATGCATTTTCATTTTTGAACATGGATAGAGCATGTCATTCTGGCTCCTCACATTCCCCATTATTCCTTTTTCTAAAACTCTGTCATTCCAGTCACTTATATATCCTGCCTGGCCCCTTTAAGCATTCAAGCATTAGGCAGTTCTTGTACTGCTATAAAGAAATACCTGAGACTGGGTAATTTATAAAGAAAAGAGGTTTAAATGGTTCACAGTTCTGCAGGCTGTACAGGAAGGATGGTGCCAGCCTCTGCTTGGCTTCTGGGGAGGTCTCGGGAAACTTACAATCATGGCAGAAGGCAAAGTGGGAGCAGGCACTTCAAATGGCAAAAGCAGGAGCAAGAGTTGAGGGAGAGGGCCACACATTTTTTAATGACCAGATTTCACAAGCACTTACTCACTGTCGTAAAGACAGCACCAAGCCATGAGGGATCCACCTCCATGATCCAAAGACCTCCCAGCAGACCTTACCTCCACCGCTGGGGATTATATTTCAACAGGAGATTTGGGTAGGGACAAATTTCCAAACTGTGTCAAGTATTCAATCCCTGATTTAAGATATTGATAGGAAGGACCGTGTATCTCAGTATTAAAACACTTTTTTTTTTTTTTTTTTTTTTTGAGATGGAGTCTTGCTCTGTCGCCCAGGCTGGAGTGCAGTGGCACAATCTCGACTCACTGCAACCTCCACCTCCTGGGAGATTCAGGAAATTCCCTGCCTCAGCCTCCTCAGTAGCTGGGATTACAGGCGCCTGCTACCACGCCCAACTAATTTTTGTATTTTTAGTAGAGATGGGGTTTCACCATCTGGGCCAGGCTGGCCTTAAACTCCTGACCTTGTGATCCATGCACCTTGGCCTCCCAGAGTGCTGGGATTACAGGCATGAGCCACTGCACCTGGCATAAAACATTCTTAAGGCTTCTTTTCTAACTCTAGAATCCAGGAGAATTCTTCTAACAGAGGTTAGGTATATTTAATTTGGTACACATTATTAGAAAATGTAAGAGGGAAATTTGCTTAAAAAACAGTTAAGTATGGGATGTTGTCAGCGTGAAAACAAAATTTTCAAAAAAGACCGGTTGGGTAGAACAAAGTCAGAGGACTCACATTTCCTCATTTCAAAGTATACTACAAAGCTATAGTAGTCAAAATCGCGTGATATTGGCATAAAGACAGACATATAGACCAATGGCCTAGAAAGCCTAGAAATAAGCACTTGCATATATGGTCAAATGATTTTTGATAAGGGTGTGAAGACTAGTCAGTAGAAAAAAAGACAGTCTTTGCAACAAATGATGCTGGAAAAGTTGGATATATTCCTGTAAAAGAAGGAAGTTGGACCCTTACCCAACAGCATAAACAAAATTAATTCAAGATGAATCAAAGACTAAGACATAAAAGCTAAAAGTATAAAACTCTTAGAAGTAAACATAGCATAGAGGAAAAGCTTCATGACAATGGATTTGGCTGTGATTTCATATGTATGACACTGAAGGCACAGGCAATGAAAGGAAAAATAGATAAATTGCACTTCATCAAAATTAAAAACTTTTATACACCAAAGTGTCTTATCAACAGAATGTAAAGGTAGCCCACAGAATGGGAGAAAATATTTGCAAATTACATATCTGATAAATGATTAATACCCAGAATATGTAGAGAACTCCTTCAAGTCAGCAATAAAAAAACTAAACAGCCGGGCGCGGTGGCTCAAGCCTGTAATCCCAGCACTTTGGGAGGCCAAGGCGGGTGGATCACGAGGTCAAGAGATCGAGACCATCCTGGTCAACATGGTGAAACCCCGTCTCTACTAAAAATACAAAAAATTAGCTGGGCATGGTGGCGCGTGCCTGTAATCCCAGCTACTCAGGAGGCTGAGGCAGGAGAATTGCCTTAACCCAGGAGACGGAGGTTGCGTTGAGCCGAGATCGCGCCATTGCACTCCAGCCTGGGTAACAAGAGCGAAACTCCATCTCAAAAAAAAAAAAAAAAATTAAACAACCCAATTTGAAATTGGTCAAAGATCTTGAGCAGATAGTGCTCCAAAGAAGATATGCAAATGGCCAATACACACATGAAAATATGCTCAACATAATGAGTACTCAGGGCCAGGTGCAGTGGCTCATGCCTGTAATCCTAGCACATTGGGAGGCCAAAGCAGGTGGATCTATGAGCTCAAAGGTTTGAGACCAGCCTGGGTAACATGGTGAAACCCTGTCTCTATTTAAAAAAAAAAAAAACAGTAATTAGGGAAATGCAATAAAACCACAATGAGATGCCACTTGATACCCATTAAAATAACTAGTATCATAAAAATAAAAAGAAAACATGTTGGCTTAACTGTGGAGAAATTGGAACCCTTATACATTGTTGGTGGGAATGTAAAAGGTGTAGTGGCTGTTGAAAATCTGATGACAGTTTCTTGAAAAATTAAACAGAATAACAAATGATCAAGCAATTTGACTCTGGGTATATATCCAAAAGAACTGAAAGAAGGGGCCAGGCGCAGTGTCTCACGCCTGTAATCCGAGCACTTTGGGAGGCCAAGACGAGCAGATTGCTTGAGTGTAGGATTTTGAGACCAGCCTGGGCAACATGGTGAAATCCCATCTCTCCTAAAAATCCAAAAACAAAAAAAAAAATTAGCCTGGCATGGTGGCACGTACCCATAGTCCCAGATACTCAAGAGGCTGAGGTGAGAGAATCACCTGAGCCCAGGAAGTCTACAGTGAGCTGTAATTGCGCCACTTTACTCAGCCTGGGCAACAAAAGTGAGACTCTCTCTCAAAAAAAAAAAAAAAAAAGAACTCCAACAGATATTTGTACACTCATGTTCATAACAACATATTCACAGTAGTCAAAGGGTAGAAACCACCCAAATATCTATTGATGGATGAATAAACAAAATGTAGTATATACCTACAGTGGAATATTATTCAGCCTTTAAAAGAAATTCTGATACATGCCACAACATGAATGAACCTTGAGGACATTATGCTGAGTGAAATAAGCCAGGTATAAAAGGCCAACAAATATTGTATGATTCCATTTATATGGATTACTTGGAATAGTCAAATTCTTAGAGACAGTAAGTAGAACAGTATTCACCAGGGTTGTTGGGGAGGGTGAGATGAATTCTTTAATGGGTGCAGAGTTTGAGTATGGGATGATGAAAATATTCTGGAGACAGATTGTGGTAACAGTGTGAATGTACTTAATACTACTGAACTGTACACTTAAAAATGGTTAAAGTGTTAAATTTTATGTTGTATATATTTTACCACAATTATTTTAAAAAGTGCTTTTTGTTTACTTATGACATGAAAATTAGTTTGGTACCTATTTGGTACACTTCTAATATGTCAGAAGTGAGAACTCTGATTCTTTAAACCATTGTTTAAGGTCATTTAGGCAGCTTCCCTTTGTCCAAAAATAAACACTTCACATGTAAGAAGTATTACAGGTACATACTACTACTTTCTGTTAAGACAGATGTGATTTCTGGAAAGAAAGCATTTTTATTTGGCCTTTTGAATAAAATATGTATTAGAATAAGTCTCCAAAAAGAGTTCTGTAACAGATAGTTTT